ATTCCATCTTCTTGCATAATGATGCTCAATGGAGTGTGGCGGGTGGGAAAGGGGGGGGGGGGGGCGGGGGGTAAGGGGATAACATTTTGCCGCTTAGGTTTGGTCAGTGATAATTGCGGCAGAGGACCCAAATGTCTAACCATCGTTTCAGGTTTTGTCTTTGACAGGCAACCTGCCAAACGTGTTTTTTGCCAAAATACAAAAAATACGCTATTTGTATGTGTGATCTGATCTGATCTCTTTCTCTTTCTTTCTTTATGTATCTGCAGTATATAGTAGTTTTTGGTTTTGTTGTTTTTTGGGCATCTCTTTTTTTTTTGGCGAGTGTGACTGTTTCGGATTAGTTTAAAATAAATTGCAAGAATGCAAGAATCGGTGGATGAATGTCTCACCCACCTCCCAATTGAAAGGGGTGGCTGGGGGAGGGGCCCACATGACGCACTGAAATGTAATTTTTTCGATGAAACAGAACGGAAACGAAAACGGAAATTGAATTTCAATTGGAAACAATTGGACCCCAGAACCACAAGTATGTTTAAATAAATACGAAGTTTAAGGGATATAAAATTGCATTTAGTTTACATTTATTTTAGTGAGAGATTTAACTTAGGCGGAGCATTTGTCACGCATTCAAAAGCGGTTGGGCAGGAAATGCATTTCCGAACTCAAATCGAACAAAGATTGAACCAGTTTGGACGACACAGCACACGCCCCCTGGGATACGCCCTTCAAATAATTGTTAATCATTGAAGTTATTTCCATAGCCGGAAGCAGCCCAAATCTCCATCACACACCCATTTCACCAGCTCTTAAACCCGTTCTGCTTACCAGAATGCAATTCCCGAAAATTTCCAAATACCGTCTGGCACTCCCCGCCACCCACCCACCCCCAAGCAAAAAATATATCACCTGTGCCCAGTCGCCTGTCCGGCGTCATTCATTTAGCTGATTATTTTTAAAATGTCATAAACATGTACATACATACATATGTATTTCAATTTTATTTTGAGAATAAGAACAAGAACGAGAACGAGAACACGTAAAAAGTACAAAAATGTTAAATGAAGTGTATGATGGCTCTCTGCTCCACACATCCTCATTCTTGTTACCCCTTTTGCTGCTGCAGGCGAACAAAAGAGGCAAAGAAGAAAGAAATTCGGCTGCAAGTAAGGAAAAAGACAAAAAAACACTTGTGCATGCCGGCTCCTTTTTTGTATGATGCCTCATTCAGAGAGAGCATTTTAATTTCAAGCAAAGGAAGGTAACTCCTGACTTATTTCAATTAAAAATCATTTGTGAAAATGCATTTGATTTGGCAGAAATTTGATCAGCAGCAGCTCAATTTATATTCTATAATTTTTGCCCAGAAAATGATCGATCATTCTTTAAGGGCATCTAGTGCTTCGTTCTGCAGTTCTGGAGTTTATCTTCGCTGTCCCTTCTGCCTGTTGGTATTTTTTGGTGCTTGTTCTCGAATGTACAAGTATTTTTCCAGTATGTACATATTTATTTTTGAGGTTTTCACAAAATTTTATGTATTGACTGTGGTTGTTGTTGCTGCCCTGCTGCTTCTTCGCCCCGCTCCAGACACGATCGTCGCACCACCCCACCCCACCCCAGCAAACCATCAACCAGCCAGCTGAAATTTCGACAAAATGTTCGTTCTCTCCCTTACACACACACAAACACATGCTCAATTTGTTTTCGGATTTCTTTTCTTTACATTCTTCGAACAAAATATCGTTGAGCTTTTTTGTTGGTGTTGAACGAGTAGTTCGTTGACCCTTTTGTATGGCAAATGTTGGAATGAGGTTGCTTTGCTGCTGCTGCTGCTTTGTCGTTTTTCTGTTGAGTGAAGCACTTTTTCTTGGGAGAGGGAATAAGTACTGCCTAAAAGCTTAAACGCAGTAATATTCTAGAATATTGCAAGCAAAACTTGCGAATACTCGTATTCATATTCATATTTCATAATTATATAAATGAATAAGTCTCGCAAATAAAGGTTAAAAAAAGTATGCAATGCAAAAAGTGTGCACTTACACATGGAACCCGTGCACTCACACACAATCGCATAAAGGGGCCTCGTACGGCGTGCACTCACACAAACACACACACAGAGGCCTGACTGCACTGCTCCTCCGCTGCCAGCGTCAACTGCACAGCAAACGTCAGCAGCAACGCCAAGCTTTTGCTGCACTCTCACACTCTCAATGTCGCCATTCGCACTCTCATACTGCCACACACACTCGCCTCGCCTTGCCTCGCCGTGCTTCGTTTCGTTCTCGTTGTTGTCTTGAACTTGAACTACACGTGGAGGGCGTGACAATGTTTTCGACACGCGCATGAAACAGCTCTCAGCATGGCGTTGCCATAAGGAGGCCGTGCATAGGTTTTCAACGCCAGAGAACAGCAATGCGCGTGCTGGCAACAGCAGCAGCAGCAGCCAACACTCTCCCTCTCCCATTCTCACCCATTTACTCACTCTCTCTCCCTCTCTCTCTCTATGTCGGTCTGTTTTTCTGGTTTGTGCCATGAGTAAGCATGTTGCTGCAGCAGCACGGCAGCGCAGCCGTGGGTGGCAGCCTCTGTCGCCTGCCTGGGGGGAGGTAGGATGAGGAATGTCAAACGAAAGGGAAGGTTGTGCCTGATGCGCCATTTTTTTTGCTAACGAAAAAAAAAAAGTGAAAACCTGTCATTGGGGGTGGGTGGTTGCATGCAGCTTTAAGTTTTCCTGCTAAAATTTGTTGCATTTTCCATGAAAAATATTCCATTTCACAAGATATCGAAATGTCGGATGACTTTATTACGCCACAATTACAAGAATTATCATTACACATATTATTTGCACGCGCGCCCAACCCTTCTCCGTCGCTTGGTACTGTGTTGCCTCCCCATCCCTCTCCTGCTACTGTGCTGCGTCATTTACAGTTTGATTGTGCTCTCTACCTCTCCTCTCTCTCACACTCTGTCAGTCACTCGCTGATTACTCGCCCGAGTCGCTGCTGCTGCTGCTGCTGCTTGCTTGCTTTTTGACCTAGGCCAACCGCTGTCGCCCCACGCAAAATGTGCGTGGCCTAACAGAACAGCTGCGTCGCTGCTGAAGGTGGCAGGGGGGCAGTGACAGAAGCAGAGGCAGCGGCAGCGGCAGCGGCAGCGCAGCTCAAAGTCAGACTTCGTGTCTAGACCTTCGCAATATAAATAAAAATATGTAGTATGTATGTATATATTTACCTATGCGTATACTCGTTATGCACCAAAAACAAAATTTTATTTTTAGGAATATTCCTTTCAACAAAATAAAATTTTCCAATTGAAATGTTTTATATTTTTACACCGCTGTATTTTAATTAAAAAAGCGTTTATAGAAATAAATAAAAAGTACACAAAAAATATGTTTACCATAGGAACCTTTCTTGCCCCCACAGATAGCCTTTGTTTATTGTTTTGATAGTTGCCCTGAAATTTTCCTAGGAATCACCATTAGCAGGGGTTGGGGGATTTTCCATACATAAAAACACTGTATTGTATTTCCTTATAAATGTCAACCCCAGGGGTATTTCCGAGCTACGCCCCTTAGCCACTATCATTGTCATTATCTTATCGCTACCATTAGTTTCTTCCCCTTTGAGAGAGCTTCAGCAAATAGTAAGTATATTCATTGAGTATATTGTGAGTGAGATTTCCCACAAAGTATCGCACTGAAACGTAGAATCACGGGTTGGGTTCTCTACTTCTAGTTCTTATCGCGTGGGCTCATCGAACTCTGTTTATATTCAACTGAAAGCTAGTGAAAATCATACAAATAGGAGCACTCCGATTGCTGTAATGGATATCCAGCCGGGGGGGACCAGAGCAGAGCAGAGCACAGAAAATACCCAGAAATAAATACATAAACAAATCGTGAATGAAGCCGCGGGAGAGAGAAAGAGAATGAAAAAGCTTACAATTTGCTTATATTTAAATGTTCATTGACCCCATCAAAAGTCCACGAAAGAAGAAACCCAAAAAAGCGAACACCAAACCCCCAGTCACAGTCACAGTCACATACCCAGACTCAAAACCCCAGACCAGACCATATCGTACACCTAGAAAAAAGGTAGAGTAGAGAGCGTGGACGGGGGGGGAGTCTGTAGATTTAGGTGCAACATGCGAGCGTCGGTGGGGGGTGTTTCGGTGATTGAAGTGTTTATGGAAGCTTAAGTGGATTTTGGCTGGGGATATAAATAGTCATAGAAGGAGGGGAAATATTTAATACGACTAGGCTGCATAATTAGTTTAGCTTTACGATTTTACAATCTATAACTAAGCAATGTTAAGCTGGGGCTTGGAATTTTTATTGCTTATTTAAAGTAGGTACTATTTATGGGTGAATATTTTTTAAAATTTTATTTGAATTAAATTAAATTTAAATTTAAATATAAATATACATAAATCTACCCCAAGTAGAGTTCTTTTAAAATATAGTTTTCGTATCTTAAAACCCCACCATAAGCCCATCCATAAGTCATTTCTAAAATGGCAGTTATTCCCGTCAAGCAACTTTACTGATCTATCCAAACATGATCACCAAACAAAAACCCCAACTTCTTGCAGCTCACACCTAAAACCACCTACCTCCAAACACCACGCCACGCCACGCCACGCCACAGCCCAAGACCAGTTTCAAAAGTCGCTCCATTTCAGAGCTATCCCAACAAAATAACGGCACTTCGACTTGGTCAATATGGGCAGGGGAAGCATAAAATAGAAGAGGGAGAGTGGAGAGTTCTTCACCACTTCTCTCTTTCCCAGTATCTCTATCTGTGCACGGCAACAACGATCCATCCCCATCCCATCCGATCATTGACCGTGTGCCCATGCGTCGCACAGTGCACGAGGGCTTTGCTTTGCTTTGCTTTTAACCTCATAATAGATAAATGTATTTTTCGTCTGAAACATTTTTCGGTGTTTTGTTGTACCTTCAGAAACTATAAAGAGAGAGAGACACACACACAGAGATACCCCCCGATCCCACACAGAAATAGTTTTTTTTTGTGTCGAATGTTAATGAACTTTTGCGCTAGTTTTACCGTAAAGCCCGAATAAACATTCAACACTAACACTAACAACAACAACAACAAAAGCTGACAAAAGTTTTTTGAACTTGCCTTCCACACAAAAAAAAAAGTTTTTTTTTAACATTTGCTTTTCGTTCTTCGTGTGTTTCAGTTTTTCGTTTCGGTTTTTTTTTTTTTGTTTTTTTGGGAGGGTTTCTTATATTTTTTGAGTTGTCGAAGGTGGAATTTGGTCGTTGGCTTTCTATAGATAGATATTTGGTGAGGAGAGATCTATGTGGTGGGGAGAACACGAACACACAAAATGAGTTATTACCTGTGAGATCTGCAGTGAAAGTAAAGTGAGGCATAGGAATAGTATAGATAATACCCAGTAAGGATAATCCCAGGCAAAAAAATACAAGTAAAAGATTATTGAAACCATATTTAAATTTACGATAAGTTCGGAGCCCAATAATATGCAGACAGCTGTCTGTTCTATAAATCAACTTTGAAACGCTATAAATAACATTCGTAAACAACAAATGAATGAAAGTACTTACGATGCTAGGCTATCTATATTATCGGAAATTAACCATTCCTTTATGAGCATATTCGAATTTTATGATCGCAAAAAATTCCCACACTTCAAACGATATTGTGCAAGGCATTTGCCTGCCATATACGAGTAGTATAACCAGCCATACGATCGGATCTCTATCCACAAACGTTTTGCACTTTAGTCTGTGCGCTATTTTTGTTGGTTTTATTTTCGTTTTAGTTTGGGAATGTTGTGGCTTTTAGATACCGGAATTCTATATAGATTATAACCGTCAGAGTCATCATGACTAAGACAGATTGCGAAATAAGCTTAGATAAGAATTTGATTTATTTTATTCTGACTCATTCCCCCCACCCCTAGAAACACCATCGAATCATAGGGAAATTCTGGTCTAACCAGGAAATTCCCTTGCAACTTCATTCAAACGCACTCAAAAATGTCCCTCGAACATTTTAACGCTCAAACGAATTTCCAATTTGAAGGGAAATTTTCAGATCAAATGGGAACATTTTCTTGTTGGTGGTTGATTTTTCCCGTTTTCCATTTTCGGGTTTTTTTTTTGGGGGGTTCGAGGCAGATTTTTCGGCCGCTCACCCACCAGTCTCCGTTGCACCATCAGACCAAGAACTACATACGTGTGCGGCAATGTGAATAATCGCGTAATTCCCCCGGTTTTGAGATCCAAATCCCAGTGGTGTGTGGCGTTTGGCGTGTGTGTGTGTGTGTGTGCATCACCAAAAATGACTGATTTCTCAATGAACGATATCTTGAGATCGTTTAGAAAAATGCGCATGAATAAGAGTACGGGTCAGGGCGGACACCACCAGTATCATCCCCAGCAGCAGCATCCTCAGAATATTCAGGCCTATCAGCACACCTATCCCGTGCAACAGTCCAAGGATTTGAAGAAAATCATCAAAATAATTAAAAAGAATTTAATCAAAGAGAAAATTACGCGACAAATGAAAATACTTGTTTAAAGGAAATAATAATAATAAATTAAAAATAATGAATTAAAAATAATGAATAAAAAATAATTAATAAAATATAATGAATAAAAAATAACAAACAAAAAAAATCAATTTTTTTAAAAATAAACAAACTTAGATTAAAACTTAGTATAATCTTAAAAAAAAAAAACAAAACCCAAGGACTGATGGAACACAAAACTGACTAAATTGCTGCTAAAGTCTGATTTATATTAAACCAAATGATTAATTTTATACGGACTTTATCAATATACATACATATATAAACGAAAAGATCTCCTAACGAAAAACAAAACCTGATAGAACTGAAACTGAAACTGGAAAAGATTTACACTTTTCCCGGCGCGCAATGAATGGACTTTAGAAATCAAAAAAATCCCACTATACCCTTAAGACTTCGAATACAAAGATGACTGAGAGCAAGAATGATGCAAAAACTTGGGCCACCAAGCAAATATGGATTAAAGATGTGCTCCACAAATCGGGCACTGAACTGGTGGATATATCCAGCAAATCCAAACCAAAGTCCGGCACCGCCGCTGCTACCTCCAAGAAATCGAATGCAAAAGGTAATCCATGACAGGAAGGTTCACGAAAAGTTTCGCTTTTTGCCGGAAAACTTTAGGGCTGCCCCCCCCGCACACGGCTCGACGCCATTTTGTTTTGGTATACGTTGTTCCGTTGCTGGGTGGTGGGGGAGAGGTGTGGGTGGTGTGGGGTTTTATTTTATCATAACAGTAAACAAGAACCGAGAGGAAGAGAGCCAAAAGCAAAAGAGAGCAAGCAGAGCCATGGGCAAAGCCGGTTGGAAAGCTTCAAGTCTATTTTTGAAAAATATCCCTAATAGGAAGGGAAATTTTTCCTATAATGCGTAATTCTGAATGAAAATGCCTCCCCATTACGCTCTCCCACTCTCCCCCTCTCTCTCTCCGGGAAAACCCCGGCCGGCAATAACAAGAAAAAGTGCGTAGTAGGCATGTCATAGGGTGGGTTTTTCTTGCCGCCCCCCGCACTCACCCCTTTACCTTACACTCACGCTCTAGACTCTAGAGGCTTTTCCCAACCACCCAACCGTATGTGTACCTTATTATAAGTAAGTCTTATCGGGTCTTGGGGGGGGTTTTTTTGCGTTGCTACATTTATTTATTATTTTCTTTTTATTATATTTCTGCGATGCAGTATCTCTGGATCAATGGGACACTGTAATGCAGGTTCATCGGTTAGTCTGGGGAAAAAAAGTGGCAAGATAATTAGATTAAAACTAAAGAAAAAAAATATATAATTAGATTAAATAAATAAAAATATACATAAAATAAAATAATTATAAATAGAATAAATAAAATTAAATAATAATAAAAAAATAAAATAAATAATATATAATAATAAATAAAATAATAATAAATAAAATAAAATAATAATAAATAAAATAAAATAATAATAAATAAAATAATAATAAGTAAAAATAAATAATATCATTGCTTAAGATATCCAATTGCCAACCACCAAAAACCCACAATGCTAATCCCTCTCTCTCCCTCTCTCTTTATTGCCTCTCTTCAGATTCAGCCACAACCAATATGGTCTACTATCCCGCTAACCAGCTGCTCATAAAAACGGAGCAACCCGCCCAAACGCAATTCTGCCTGCAGGTGCCGCCCCCATTGACGGCGACGCCCAGTGCGGGTGGCATTGGTGGTGCGCCACTGGGCGGACAGCAGGAGCACTATGAGCTGCTGCAGACGCCGCAGCAGCGACAAATGCAACTGCAGCAGCAGGCGACGCAGGAACAGCAGCAATTTGTTAGCTACAGCTATCAGCTGGCGTTACAGCAGCAGCAGCATGAAAGTATTACAACAACAACAACACCCACTGCAGCAGCAGCAGCAGCAGCACCCGCAGCAACAGCAGCAACAGCAGCAGCAGCAGCGCAGCGCATCAAGACAGAGCCACCGCCAACTGTTAGCTACAGCAGCGCTGCTGGCACTGCTGTCACTGCGCAGCCGCGCAAGCAGAACGGCACGAAACCGCAATTCAAGTGCGAACAGTGCGGCATGACATTCGGCAGCAAATCGGCGCACACATCGCACACGAAGTCGCATGCGAAGAATGCCGAAATGGCGCTGCATGGCGCGGGGGGAGCACCCGGCGCGACAGCGTCACCCATCGAACTGAACGAAGCGGGTCTGCCGGTGGGCATACCGAAGAGTCCGACCATCAAGCCGCTGGCGAATGTGGCCGCCGGCGCGGATCCGTATCAGTGCAATGTGTGCCAGAAGACATTCGCAGTGCCCGCGCGACTGGTAAGCATAAGAACACACCCCACCCCCCACCCAAGGAATATGCCCATTTAATGCTCTCTCTCTTTCTGTTTTTTGCGAATCTTTAGATCCGTCACTATCGCACCCATACGGGCGAACGTCCCTTCGAGTGTGAGTTCTGCCACAAGCTGTTCAGCGTCAAGGAGAACCTGCAGGTGCATCGTCGCATCCACACCAAGGAGCGGCCGTACAAGTGCGATGTGTGCGGCAGGGCCTTTGAGCATTCGGGCAAGCTGCATCGCCACATGCGCATCCATACGGGCGAACGGCCGCACAAGTGCTCCGTCTGCGAGAAGACGTTCATCCAGTCCGGCCAACTGGTCATCCACATGCGCACGCACACCGGCGAGAAGCCGTACAAGTGCCCGGAGCCGGGCTGCGGCAAGGGATTCACCTGCTCCAAGCAGCTCAAGGTGCACTCGCGCACGCACACGGGCGAGAAGCCGTATCACTGTGACATCTGCTTCCGGGACTTTGGCTACAATCACGTGCTGAAGCTGCATCGCGTGCAGCACTACGGATCCAAGTGCTACAAGTGCACCATCTGCGACGAGACGTTCAAGAACAAGAAGGAAATGGAGGCCCACATCAAGGGGCATGCCAATGAGTTACCCGACGATGAGGCCGAGGCAGCAGGTGTTGCCGCCACCTCCTCCGCGTCGTCGTCCTCCTCGCAGGGCATCACCAGCAATTCGGAGAGCAGCAATAACTTCTCCACCAAGCTCTCCGCCAGCAGTGAAGAAGCCACGGCAACCGCGACAGCCGCGTGGAGTCAAGGCGGCCGCCACTGGTGCCGCCCCACTCTCGCCCAGCTCTCCCAGCTCCACGTATTCGCCATCCGCCAGCAGTGTGGCCTCACCGCCGCCATCCACAGTGCAGTATCTGCCCGCCGCGCCGCTGGACACGGATGCACTGAGTCGGGACAGTGGCGTCTCCAGTGCCCAGCCCGCCCACAGCAGCTATGCGGACGAGGAGCTGCCCACGGATCTGAGCATGCAGCAGAGTCAGCCGCCAGTGCCGATGGTCTACCAGCCCTACCCGGCCACGCCCAGTTTAGTTGAACTACAGCCACAGGCGCAGGCCCAGCCCCAGCCCCAGCCCCTGACCATTAATCCCGCGCTGCTCGAGGCGGCCAGTATTGCACGCCAGGATGAGGATGACGTTCATGTGAACGATGAGGATGTCCATGCCGCTGCCTGGCAAATGATGCAGCTGCGTCGTGGACACGCTGCTTCACCGCCGCCACCCGAGGCCACAGTGCCGCAGCAGGCATCGCCACAGCCCACGCTGCATGTCAGCGATCTGGCGGCCAACTATGACGATACCCACGAGGCCACCGTGCTCATTGAGCACTTTAAGCGTGGAGATCTGGCACGCCATGGCCTGCACAAGGGCTACGCGCCTGTGCCCAAGTATGAGTAAGTATTGAAGCTACACTCGCCGTCCAGTGGAGAGCCAATCTAATGTCTCAATCTAACCACTCTCGCCACAGATCTGCCCTTCCAAATCCAGACATTGTGCGCCGCGTGGAGGCAGCCATTGGTCTGCGCTCCAGCACCGAGTCGCCCGAGCGCAGCTCCTCGCCCGAAAGTGATTCCCTGATGATGGCCGATCGTAATGTGATGACGCTGCCGCTGAGGAAACGCAAACACTACATGAACAAGGGCGATGCGTCATGCCAGGCGGAGAGTGGCCCAGCGACGCTGGGGCCAGCAGCAGCAGATGGTGGCGTCACAGCGGCCACATCAACCTCAACGGATGCCAGCAGCAACAACAACAACAACAACAACAACTCCAAGGTGATGAGGATGAGCTCTGTCATACAGTTTGCCAAGGCCTCGTAGTGGGCCACGGCCACGGCCACTCCCCCCCCCAAAAAATCAGCATAAAGACTGTCCAGCAAATTCTAACTGAAATTAGTTTTAATTTTTACCCCACGAGGTTTGGAATGGAATTGTTTTCTAGCAGCGAAAAAAGAAAATGCCAAAAGTATTATAAAAAAAAAAACACACACACACAAAAAATTAATAATGATGAAAAATTTGTTTTAAAATTTGTTTTAAAATTAACACCGTTCTACGTTATGGTAACGAATTTTGTTGAATGTTTGTTTGTTTTTTTTTTTTGTGTAAAGAAAGAGAATTTTAATGAATTAATTTTTGGCAGATATGTAGCAGGGATGTATTGTGTATATCGTTTATGTTTTTCACCACACCCCCACACACACACCCCCCCTGTGTTTTCACTTAGTCAAATTGCAACAAATTGGCATTATCGGTATTAAGAGTTAGCATCACTAATTTTAAGAACGCTAAAACGAGAATCCAAACATTAAAAATACAAAAACCATAACATACAAATAAAAATAAACACCTAAACAATAATAAGCTACGTGCATGATTATCTATACAAAGAAACAAACAAGTAAATATACATATATGTACACATAATGATAATGAGCGATATGTATGCAACATAAGGGCCATATTGGCACATAACATACATACAATACAATACAATACAATACAATACATAAATACATATAACTATAATTCTAAAGACCTATTTATTACTGAGAAATAAAATATATACATACGAAAAACCTCTGCTCGCCAAAAAAAACGATGCAACACCGGGAAAGAAGAGGTAGAAGGGAACCATTTCAATTGAGTTTGACATTTTGACATTTAATATAAAGTGATTTCAAGATTATATTTGAAGTCTAACAATACCTTTGCATTGGAAGCTACAAATCATTCAGACAATTTTCTTCTTAATTTTTTTCTCGGTGTTGCACACCCCACCCATCATCCATCCTCCTGATCATCAATCAATTCATTCGCCTCCATTTAAACACAATTTGATATGCATTTTATATTTTATATACAACATACATACATAATAATAATAATAATAATAATAATAATAAATATTTAACGAAAGTCATTGAATAACAAACTAAATGCTAAAACGAAAAATAAAATTCAAAAAATATACAATACGGAGAATATTGAACTGATAAGCAAGGAGCAAGCAAGAATAATTAAGTTAATAAAAGAAAAGAAAACCTAACATAACATTTACCAACAACAACAACAACAACAGCAACAGCAACAAAATCAAGAAGGATTTACATTTGCAACAATATAATTCTAAGTGCGTAAGATACATAATTTTTTGTAAACGCTAAGTTAATAATTTTAGTTATAAATTGTAGCATCAAATATTGCAAGTAAAAAAGCGCAGAATGAATTCGAAAATATAAAAAACAAAAACAAAACAAAAAACAATTCAATAAAAAAGAGAAGCGTAAAATTAAATACGAAATGAAAATTGAATTAATTTGTGGGTGGGTCGAATGCTGGAAAGACAAAGAAATGTGTTACCTACCGAATCATTTTTGAAGATTCGTTTGATTCGAGAGCAATGAAGTGGCATGAGTGGATTCGAAACTACTGCAGAGATCTGGAGAAGTGGCGACTCCCCATGAGAGGATGGATAGATCGCGAACGAGGCTCTCTCAAGAAGGAAACAACTGCCGGATCCTGTGGCTAAACACGTTCTGAGAGTCGCGGTACTCTTTCATGGGTACCCTATCCGAGCCAGTCGGGCCGTAAAGTGGAGTGCAAACTAATCCACAGGGCGTACTTTTCTTATACTAAATATATCTGGGCTATGAGTAGGCTTTCCCGCACAAACTTCAACAAATACTAGACCCAAAAAGCCAGACAAGACAGCACCATGAAAGATATAAAATCCAAATTATTATTTAGCCGCTTCGCTAAGTCTCTGTTCATTGCAATTGTCATCACTTTGTATATTGTGTTGATGATGGAAGGCAACCGCATCGATTATGGCAGTTGCGAGGGCAAACATTTGGCCAGCAACGCCACAAAGGCTGCCAATGCCACAGGACAGTTGCAGCCAGAGCATACGCTAGAGCTTGAGGTGGAGGTGGAGGTGGAGGAAAGAGATTTTGTGATTACTCGCGGCTGTCATGTGGGTGCCGTGAAACCTCTGGCCGCTGCGGTGCTACCATTTATCCAACAATTGCGTGGGATTGTGTGTCCCAGGGTGCAGCTACTGATAACCGAGACAATTGCCGGCAAGAATTATTTGTTCCTCAATCACAGCGAGTCGCAGTTGGACGCCTGTTGTGGCGTGCAAAATCTCAGCGAAGTCAACTGCACATATTTTCAATTGAGACGAAAGGATGATTTTCGCAACACAAAAATAGAACGAAAATATTTTAATTTGAGCAGGCAATCGAGATACCTGGAGGTGGGCAGTGGCAATCAGTATTTGTGGGTCAAGTGTGCAGCAAACGGAGAGAGCTTTTATAATGATACGCTATTTTTCGTGGCACCACCAACGATGGAGCAGCAGCCCAAGCCCCACGGGCGACTCTCCGTGCTGATATTGGGCATTGATTCGCTCTCCCACATGCACTATCGGCGCTCCTTTCCGCAAGTGGCGGAATTTATTGAACAGCTGCCGCATACCGAGTTCTGGGGCTACAATCGCATCGGTCGCAACACCTTTCCCAATATGATACGCCTCCTGAGCGGCCTCAGTCCCAAGGAGCTGAATGACAGCTGCGTTTCGGGCAACAAAACCTTCGATGACTGTCACTTGCTGTGGGATGACTTCAAGGCGGCTGGCTACACGACCAGCTATGGCGAGGATAGCGACATATACGACATATTCACGCTCAATAAGAGGGGCTTTGTCCGACAGCCCACGGACTTTTATTTGCGACCCGTAATGCAGAACATCAGACAGCACACCCAGTATGAGGCGAGTGGGTGGTTCGGCGCGCCATCGATAACTATGAGCTGCACGGGGGGACGCCTCTATCAGGATGTGCTCCACGAGTTCATCTACAAGCTGATGCCGCACATGAGACGCCAGCCCACATTCTCGCTATTTTGGCAATCATCGGGTGTGCATGACTATTTCAACTATGCCCAGACATTGGATGAGCATTATGTGAGAATATTGCGCGAGCTGCATGTGCAGGGCATCATGAATCACACGCTGATACTGCTGATGTCCGATCATGGGCTACGGTTCCAGGGCAGCGACAGTGCGGGCAACGGATATACGCAAACATTTCAGGGCATGGAGGAGATGTCACAGCCATTGCTGATGGCCCTCTATCCCGAGTGGCTGGGCGAGAGGTTTCCCCTGGCCATGTGGAATCTGGAGCGGAATGCGCACAGTCTCGTCACGACATTCGATCTGCATGAAACACTCAAAGATGTCATCCATTTGGATGAGCGTTTGAGCGATGATCAGCTGGAGAAGCGAACGCTTCATTTGGCCAACGAGCGGGGCATCAGTTTGTTTCTGCCGATACCAGGGGAAAGGAACTGCACCACCGCCCAGATACCAGGACACTTTTGTCTCTGCTTCAAGCTGCGCAAGATCTCCCGCAAGGAGAGCTCTGTGCAGAAGGCGGCACAGTTTGTGCTGGACAGCATCAATGGCCTGATCAAACCGTATGCCCAGTGCCAGCCATTGAGATTGGTGAAAATTCTGGCTGCCTATAATCTAAGCGGCCGAAAGCAGAAAGCTGGCACTAAACGGCCATTCAGAGCTTCCTATGATAGATACGCCACACAGAAGGCGGCAGAAGTTGACTACGAATCGAGTGATAGCGAGGGACGAGCTGTCCACCAGATTAGGGTACGCCTGAAGACGAGACCCGGTGAGGGACGGTTCGATGCGAGCGTTTTGATCAAGCCACAAATGAGACTGCTGGGTCCTGTGACCAGAACCGACAAATATGAGAGTAAATCCCATTGCGTAAACGATTATCACATTGAAAGGTACTGCAATTGTTTGTAATTTCACTTAAATAATTAATTTGCATAATATTTTCTTGTTGCTCTGGATTAATCGTAGGCTTCAATTTAGTAAATAAAAAATAAATCATATATTTGCTACGTTTGATGACAGTCTTTACTTGAATTTAGAAAAGAGTTCCATAAAGCTGCCTTAAAAATGTGAACTCAAAACCATTAACTGATGGCCAAAGCATATCCAATACGTAGCACCCAATTCTGGCTATGCTCTGTGTAATAACTATCTAATTGTATTCATGCATGGCAGTTCCATTTAATCAGTTCTGACTTCTAGTTTAATCAGCACACTGATGAAAAGCTGCTTGCCAGAGGGTAGCGCCAGCGGCAGCCAATTATTCTGCTATTTGTTTAAAGCTCTGCACAAGCTTGCTCGCTCTCCTCCCCCGACTAAGCTCTCTCACCGCCTAAGCGCTCGCTCCGGCTAAGCGCTCGCTCTCACAATCTATGCTAACTATGTGTGTACGTATGCTTGTCTATGATAAGCAAAGCTGCGCTCTCAGCAGGCGGATCGGCAATGCAATGCCGAAACATGCAAAGAGCAAGCAAGCTTTAGTGGCACTTTTGTTCTGACGCTTTTAAGTTTAAACTACAAAATTCGTGAATTAATTTGTGCGCCGCCGCGTGTTTGTGATTTATTTCGGTATAAATAATAAGCCAATTGGGCAAACAAAATATTATGCCACACAGGTATGTACATACATACATATATATATATATATTTCTAATGAAACTCGTATATAACATGGCTTGCCCTTAATTCCGGTTGCCTTTTTTTTGCAGAGTTTTAATACATAGAAATATGATCAGAACTACAAATATAGATATTTTGCGACATTTTAACATAGTTTTTTTATATAGCTCAAAAAAATATTAATTAGCTTAGAGTTCCGTAGACCTGAAAAACACTTCGAATGATGCCATCAACAATTCCGTGTGTTTGGAAAAGGTAATCACCTTCCGGAAAGGGCAGAGTCGCTGTTAAATGACTGTTCACAAGGTTGATAGGCACCTGATCGATAAAAATTTCCCCCTGCACACACAGGGGATATTATAGATATTACTTAGAAACGAATGGTTGAACAACTTACATTGTAGGGACATGAATGGTTCAAATTGTGGTTCGTTCCAATAATGCCAAAAAAGTAATTAGCCACCGGACTATGACGGGGATTATTGAGGAATTTACAGCCATCCACAGTGAAATTGTAGAGAAATGGTTTATATCCACTGAACCGTTTATACAAACCACAATTTAGCTAAAAAATATATTAGACTTTAAATATATATTTACTTATATCAGAATTGTGTCATATATGTATATATGACGTACCTGGACATTGGTAAGGGGAGGTTTTAGCAAGCGCAACCTGCCGGACGCATATTTGTAGGTACGATTTATCGACTTCAGATAGCAATAATCCATGCTGCAGTAATCCTCATCCACACATTTGCACTTGACGTTGGTGAACTCAAATTTGGATGAGATCTTGAAGATTTCTAAGCTGTTTTAGCGTTCAATTTGTTATAATATGCCGTTTATACATACTTCTTTAATAAAATACAGCATCAAAATGAACAGCAACAAGTTCTGCTTAACGGACATGTTGGACTTTTGGTGTTTTATTGAAAACTAATACCCAAATGTTCGATCAGAGGCTATTTATAATATATAATATTATTGCTGCCCATTAAATATGCATACAAAATCAATTAAATAGTTATTATTGTTATGGAAAATTTTTACCAATGCGCATACTGGTACTATCATGGTATATCCTCATGATATATTCGGTGAGTGGGGTACACAGAATTCTCTCTTCATTTGTAGATTGGTAATAGTTTTTTGGTAATCTGTGCTATTAATTCAATTCTATGTAAATCTTGTACTACTTTATACGGATCTGTGGATTTGTTAATTCCCTGTGATCCACCTCCAGTTCTGTAGATGAATCTTAATATAATCGTAGATTCCCTTATCCAACTTTTCTTCATCGATTTCCGCGTAATAGATTTATCTGTGATATCTATTTAGAATCGACATCATTTGTTGTATATATAATAATCCCACATAACCTTTTAGATATTTCCTAAAAAAAAGAGAGGTTATTACATCCAATAAACATTAAAACCGATTCGAAATCCCTTTTGCCAAAGTTTAAAATAAATTAAAAATCAATTTGTTTCATTCGGTAGAATGTGTGTGGGGGGCATCTGTACCCCCACATCTGTATTCGGTTAACAAACATTTCGATTATATAAAAAATGAGTTTACATGAGTTTTTTGTTTTGTTGTTGTTGTTGTAATTTGACTGCTGGAACTGGCAGTTGAGGCACCAGTCCCAGGTTCATTCATTCACCTGTTTGATACGCTTTCGAACGCGATTCATATAATTAAACACCAATTAATATTATAATCAAAACAATCATTTACAAATATGGCAGAGCTGCCAAATGGGCGAGAGGGGGGGGGAGGATAGGAGTGAGAGAGAGAGAGAGAGATAAGGCAAATTATGATACATTTAAGCAAAACGAATTGCAATTCGTGTGGGAGAGATAAGGCAGCGGGCACAAAAAACTATACACTTAAATTAGTTAACGAGAGAGGGGCATGGTTATGGATTGGGGGAGGTGTGGGTCTTGTGGCCTATTACAAAAGAACTAAACCTTGTTTTACAAACTAATAATGCAAATTGATTTAACTTGTCGCCCGTTGGAGCGACATCATCCCCACCCATCAGATGCCAATGTAGGAGCAAAGCACAAACACGGCGAATATCATGACAATCATAAAGGCAATGGCCAACCAAACGGGAATAGTGCCTAAAATATATATAGAGAGAGAGAGAGAAAGAAATAGAGTTAAATTAGGACGAAAAATACGCTAAAATATTCGAATTGCTTACGCCTTTGGGCCAGACTATGAATGCAGACTTTATTGTCCACAGAGATGGACAGCACGGCCGCCTCTGTATCGCTCGAGATGGGCGGACCCTCCTCATTGGTTATGGGCAAAAATTGCAGGCCCGTCACGAACATGGAGTGAGCATGAGGAATGTGCAGAACGCGCTGGAAAATCGAAATTACAACTGACTTGCTGTCTGTCTGTCTGTGGAAATGATATGCTCCTTCCACTCACCTGCAGACTAAATGCTATGTACATGGATACGCTGCCCGAGAACATGGTTCCCACAGCCACAAATCTACCGTCGTCGCGCACTGCCAGCGAGGACAAGCTCTCATCGATGGCCACCGCCTGGCGCAGCTTGCCGCTGGCACAGTCCCAGTGCTGCAGATAGCCCCGCTGTTTGCCGACCTTACCCAGGGGATTGGTAATGGTGAACAAACGATAGTTGTCCTTGCGCGCCTCCACGGTGCCGTAGCGACAACGCTTGAAGAGATACTTGGAACCCTCGGGCGTCTGCCATTGCAGCTTGTGCTGCAGTTTGCCCGTGCTCAGGTCCCACACCAGTCCCTGCGAATCCTTGGAAATGCTCGCAATGTATTTGCTGTCGGGACTAAAGTCCAGATCATCGATTTCCTTGCTATGCGCCGGCAGCTCGGCACCCAGTTGCATCTGTGGAAACGACCAGATGCGCAGCTTGCCGTCGGTGCCGCCGGTGGCCATTAGCCTGCCATTGCCACTGATTCGCACCACGCGCTGCAGTGGCTCCGAGCTCTTGAGGAAGTCCGTTTGCACCACATCCGCCGCCTGGATGTCGAAGCGTAGGCGCTGGAACTGCTTAAGTAGGTCATCGGCCGTGGTAGGTGGCTTATGGCCATTGGCTATGAATTCCACACCCGAATGTGCGGCTCCAGCTCCACCGCCACCGCCACCGCGCTGCCTCACATTCCCGTTCTCATGGGGCCGCTCCACGGGATTGGGTTTATTGTCGCCATCCTCCTCCGTTTCGATGCGCGGCTGGACAAAGTACATCTGGCAATGGGCCTCCTGTCCGGCACAGAGATATCCCCTCCGTCCATTGTTGCGCACCGCGAAATTCATCACCACATTGGCGCCCGTCTCATGGCGCAGCACTTCCTCCGCACAAAAGTGACTGCCATTGTGGTACAACTCGTAGATTTCCTACAAAATCAATAAGCATATCAATCATTTGTCATGGATTATTACGTGCAGTGACACAGTGACACTTACAAAGCCATTTGCAACGCCCGTCTTGCTGGAACCTCCACCGCCGGCCACCAAAATGTGGCGACTGGTCAGCATGTCCACGGCATACAGGGGGAAATTGACGCGGGCCAGCAGGCCATCGCTGGGTCTGCGTGTCGGTGCCATTATCAATTATTAATCGACCGCACTTGGATCGATTCCGTTGGTTTGTTGTGGACTTCGACGGTTTTATCAGCTCTGCTCTGGCACAACTGACTCAGGGGCACATTTATCTGGGTCGATGCGCTGCCTGCTGGCTGGGGGGATTTTCTATAAAAAATATATATGCACTATGCACTTGGCTGCTCTGCCGTCTCTAGTTGAGGTTCTCCATTGCTTGCTGTTTGTGGCGTTAATTAACTTAGTTTATTTTTTTTTTTTTGTTGACTTCTTCCACGTACACGATATGATTTTATATCGATATATTTGTGATATTTTTATTTTTGATACGATAATATCGGTACGATAGTTTTGTCGCCGATTATATCAAGAATCGATATTTTTAGAAAATATCAACCACAATTAGCAGCACTGTAACCCCCAGAAATATACCGTAAATATACTGACGGACACGACAAGTTGATATTCCTCGATTTTGATATTCGGTTTAATACTACTAGCTAGCTAGTCCTCTCAGTCCTAAACAATTAATTTTATCCAATTGGCTAGTTTTTAGAAATTCTGTTTAGAGCGAACTTTCGGTATTTTTTGTGGGCTAAATGGAATTTGGCGGTCATTTTGAAAAGTACTTTAATATATCTTCAAAATTGATTAAAAATACTTTTAGATACCGACACTATAAATGGACTTTGATCTTAAATATACTTTGAACAGAAGTATTCGACACTTCGCGACACTTCTGTTTTTTCGGAACTAATTGGAATCCAATTGAATCCAAAACCAAAACAACAGCTGATTGTTTGGCAACTAAGTCTTTGGCGTTAGTTATTAGTTATTTGATTAGTTAGTTAAAGTTATTTGATTAGTTATTTTAATTCAAATCTGTAAACGTATTCCCGCTACCATACCGCAATAGCTAGCAACTATCGATGTATCGATATATCCATATACAGTGGCGCTATTTGTTTGTTTTCGGAACTACACTGTAGTGTCGTGTAATGTAGAATGTAAAATCGTAATAATGATCATTGCACCACATAAATTAGCATTTGCACTGTTGTTGCCTGATGTTACGCCCACATAAAAACAGCCTTCTGCTTCCCGCTTCATTGTCCTGCCACTGGAATGGTGGCGACCTTCGGCACTGCCATATAAGGCCGCATCCAGAGACGCCATCGGGGAGTGCGATCTCTTAATGTCCCCCCACCGCCCCAACCCGCTGCGACTGTCGGGCAAGTAAGTCAATTATGGATTTTATTGTCGATTCTTATTCTTTTGTTGTCTTTACTGATTCAGCAAGATCTTTGTTTGTGTGTTTAAGCGGAGCTTCTTGACTTTTGCTTAACCGCAGAAAGCCAAAGTGGGGTTCCGGTCGCCTCTCCTTTAATAACACTCTCTATTGGAGCAATTTGTTTAGCAATTTTTTATTCAAATTCAAAGCTTGTTTTCAAGTGAAAACCTCCGTCTGTCTACGCATGTGAACTCGTTTTTTTTCTTCTTCATTATTTCTACGGTGCGTGGACAAGTTTTACCGGCAATTCGATCAAATTTCACTTTTTATGAGAGTATCTCCCCGGGTAGCTGCTAAATTGATTTGTCACTTAAACCGTGGTAACCCCAACACCCAGCACCCCACTCCCAGCGAGTGCCTCTAATAAAAGAAAAAAGAAAGGCAGGCAGGCAGCCTCCGAGTAGTAATTGGTAATTGCAATGTAGGTGAGAAATCTGGCTGGCACTTTGTTTCGTTTGGTAACAGGAGTGTGGGTGGGTGGGTGTCATCTGCCACTCTGCCCCATAAGGCAGTGGGGGGTTCAATGTACTCCTCACTATTATCTCTAGACAAACGCTCTGCTCTCTGCTTCTGGGTTTTATGACCGTTGCAGGTTGGCAAAGTGCTGATAAGCGCACTCTATTCAAGCTCTAACTGCCATCCATTTGTTGATGTTGTGACGCTCGCACAGCTGTCTGTAGGTTTGAAATAAATCACAAGTGATGATTTCATTCATCCACAAAAGCAAACAAGCAAAAAAGATTCAATTGGAAAGCAGGCAGACGGAAATGAAATTCACCTCCTACTTGCTCGTTCTCTGTGTTCCCCTGGGAACCGGTTTGTGGTCTAACTGAATTCAAATTTTCAAATTTGAATTTGAATCTTAACCGCCCAATTTAAACAAAAGACAACGCGCAAAAGTTCCTGGCGCAGCTTCCCCCGCCAACAACAAAAAACATTGCACAGCTGTCGATCAAAGTAAGTAAATGTAGGGTGAGGCATTGCAAGAGAGAGCTCTCAGTGCAGCTTGCAATGTTATACTCAGTGGTGTTCGTGTGTGAAAATATATACCGTATATACTGTGAATAGCTTTCCGACTATACCATTTCCTAGGTCAACAAATCGTACGAGATCAAGAGAGCAAGAGTGACGTTTGCTACTCACTGAGCGTGAATGCTGTACCCTACTTCGCTATACTTTGGCATCCGCTGCTTTAGTTTTCCTTTTTGCTTTCTGGTTTCTTCCTTGCGCATTCGCTCAATTTTCGTCGTCGCGATCACAACGTAAAGAAAAGCAAACTATAAACTCAGCCCGATTCCCGCTATAAAACATTTAATAAAGTTTAACTTGTACATTTTGTGTAATTGTGCCAATTGTGCGTGTGTTTAACAACCTTTGTTTGTGGCGTTATTAAAGAGTGCAGCCAGCAGCATTTGTCGTTGGTAAGTTGTGGCTTTTGTTAGTGCAACCAGAACGAAGCGCAGAAACAACTGCAATCCGGTTTGGGCCGGTGCAAGATCAGATCCCTTTTCTCCATTTTGCCCACGGCGCAATTGCAACAACACCTTCATGACCCCCCTCCATCACTCACCATGTTTCCCCGACGCCAACGGGGAATTGAAGTTTGTGTTGCCTTGGCAGCAGCGCTGTTGCGTCGCAGTCGCAGTTTTTTTTTTCCCCTCTTCGCACTTTGTTGCTGTTCTTATTTGCCGTAATGAGCGATGTGCGGTTCTTCTGCGAGTGTTCGAAGAGTGTGTGTGTGTGTGTGGGGGTGCGCGTATACCCTTTCATACAGTATTTTTGATCTGATCTTCGACCCCAACAAGTATATATACATAAATCAGATCATATTGATCTACAGCTCTTGGAAAAGATCGGCAGACTACATACATATGTCATATGTACTTAAATACAAACATATATACAGATATATAAGGGCATAAAAAACTGCGGCGCCTGAAGCCTAGCCGCCTACATACATATGTACTTCTTTTTAGTTTACCGTATTTCTGCCTGCGGCCTGTCACTCTTCTTATTGGCATTGCGCTTTGTTTGCTGTTTGCCGCGGCCTGTTCGTTTCAGCAAGGGAGTGCAATGAGAGAGAGAGAGAAAGAGAGGGAGAGAGAAGGAATGGATTGAGGGGTATATGCCGTTTTGTGTACGATCTTGCAATTGTGGTGGGGAGTATGTGCGTTTAAGCAGATTCAATATGCCGTTTATATCTGTAATTGGAATACCCTTCTTTCCCACAACTTTACCTCAGGATTGCATCGCATCTCCCATGAGTATTTTCTTCAGTTAAGAACTTTATGCTTTTGTTTTACTCCTTTTTAAGGGTATACCCACATTCGGTACACGAATCCTTCTCTTTCTCTATTTTCCTCACGTTCTCTACTATGTACTATTGTTTTCTCCAATAAGAGAACCAATACCAAGCCCATACAAATAACAGGAAAAAGGTAACCGTAAGCCAGAAAGAGGGGGAAAATACAAAGAGAGAGGAGGCACTGAGAGGTTCAGCACAGCACAGCACAGAGAGAAAGGAATGAATGACAGCTAAAGAGTGAGACAAAGAAAGAGGAGCCAGAGGTTAAGAGCACATTGGTGCAGCAGATTCCCTCGGGGACTCGACTCTCTTTGTAGTTATGGCATCTTGTTATGGGGACTCTGTTTGCCGTAAATTTCAATAGCCATAAACAAATCAATGCACGATGCATAAATCTGTTAACTGTTCATGTGTGTCGTCCCGTTCGCACCGCCTGTGTGGGTTTTCGCCCAAAAGAGTCGTAAATTAAGTTAAATGAGTGTACCGTACCATTTGTTGTATGGAGGGGGCGCTATTTCTTCAGGTTTGTCATTCTGTCAACAATTGACTTTAATTGAACTTTGATTGACATCTGACGGGTGGGGTCTCTCGCTCCCTTCTTCCTCTTTGGTTTCAAATGGTTTTTTATTTCTGTTATCAGCGATTTTTTACGAATCTGATATGGATATGTATGCTTCCCACGCTAAATGTGTAATATAATACGCGTTCTAGTTGGCGGCTTAGCTTGGTGTTAAGCAGCCCTTGACTTGTGTTTGATTAGCGTATGGGGTTGCATAACATTTGTGAGTGTTAGCTGGGATTAAATTTTATTTAAATTTGTAGATTTTCTGGGTAGAGATATCCCATGAATAGACATATTTTTACTTCTTTTATAAATGAATATAATTTTCATATTCATTTGTCTGATTTTCTTAGCATTTTCCTTTGTATTTAATTCTTATTTCTTAATACTCTTTATTTACAGTACTTTAATTTGGATTATCGTGACAAACCCCACATCTTTTCCTTGTTTAATCTCTACATTCCATTTAAAAAAGGAACCAACAAAACAATATAAAAATGGTGAACAATACCGTTGATACCGTTGAGGGTAAGTCTTGTTTTCTTCTTTTATTTATTTTTTTTTCTCGTTTCGTGTTTGCTTTCCATCACTGCGGGATTCTCATTACATTTTCACACTTTTTCATGTGTTTTTCTGTTGTTCTTATTTCCGATGTTGTTTTCCTCCGCCCGAAAGAAATGCAAGAAAAGTTCAGTTAACTTGAGTTTCTTCGTATTCCACGAGCTTACTCCCGCGGGTGGGTGCACTGCAGCTGTTTGGGGGGCTTTGGGAGGAAAATCGACTCGAAACAAAACAAAAGATGCCACGCCTCGTTGCCCGTTTTTTTTTTTTATTGTATCGGAGTTTTCCTAGTTTTCCTTAGTTGTTGTTTGCATTTGCATAGCAATCATAAAAATGCCAGGCCTGGAAAACTCGCGTACAACAAAATTCGAGCGCTGTGCTCTTTTTTGGATTTGGATTTAGGCCCCATGGCGAATGTATCTGTATCTGCTGCTGCTGCCGCTGCTGCCAGTCGAGTGGCATAGATTACGCGCCATTGTATCCTAAATACGTTTTATGTGCACTTTTAGGATGCGTGAATCCAGCAGATACTTTCGCATGCAGATAGATACATATACAGTCACA